CGCTAATGTAGCGACGCCACAACCACTTTTTGCCACGTTTGCGCAACAAGCAAAAAAGTTAAGCTCAGCAGGGATCCGATCCCATGACCTGTTGCGTGGTAAACGCGGCTCCATAACTCCGTTCAGAGAATCGCTTTGCAAATTTCGAAGGCAGATTCGAGATCAGCGTCCAAAACCACGTCTAGTGAGCTACATCTCATTACAAATGGCCACTTCGACCTGACGACCTTCCCTAGTCAGAAGAAAGTGCGAGCAGTTTATCTGTTAAAAGACAATATCCTCAGTTAGTTTCTAAAATCTCTCACACATCCACTGCATAGGATAGCCTTGCCTAGTGATGATCGACTTGAACGAGTAGGGTAATTTTTCACTTCTCTGAACCATTGTTTCCAGAACCCGTTTTCATACTCCAGTTTCTCTTCGACGTTTTTCCTACTGTTTGGAATCTTCTACCAAAAAAAGGATAAAATGGTTATGGGTGTAGAGGCAGCAAAAATAGCAGGAAGGTCCACGAGAGCTCTACTTTCACGTGTAGTTTTTTTATTTTGTGAGTCTTATAAACTGCTTTCGAAAATGCACCTAATCCAACTGTGTACCAAGGCGCAAGCGAGTGGTTGTGGTTGTAAAACAACGGAACTTTCTCGACCGACCTAGTGAAGGAAGTAACTCTGTACTAACGTGAAGCCACAGCTGATCAAACGATTTTACTGGCGTGACCAAACCGTACACAACTGCATCATCCTTTCTTTCAGGTTCGTAGGTGCCGAAAAGCCTGAAAACAGTTGAATTTCCGCTGTTTACAGAGAGTGGTGTCGCGAGTCGACGTAAAATGCGTCGTATTTTTGCTCGTGGCTAGATCTGAATTAGCTTTACATGCGTTCCAAGACTCAGTGAGCTAAGTAAAATAGTCGTTAGCGCAAAACAGCATCAATGCTTGTGCGTAGGTGAGCCGAGATCCAGAATTACATAGAGAATTTCACGTGTGTCTCTTTTTTCGCTGTTCTATACGGAACACTCTCACGAAAATACAAAAAGCGGAATCACAAATTCTCACAAGTGATGTTGTAAAGTATGTTATGATATGACCAAAGTGCAAGTCATCTGAGCACTCGAACTCTTCGAGTTATATCTCGCAAATTCTTGTGCAAGGAGCGGATGAGTGGACTGTTTGGTAGGTGGCTCTCTAGAGGTTCTTCTTCTTCCCTTC